CTATCATTCTTGAAGAAACCAGTATAATCTTCTTGGCTTTAATCTCTGAATGATGCTGATGTTCTGTAAGCATTTCCATGGAGTTGAGCCTCTTGGAAAACTGTAAATGTTAGATTGCATTGCTTCAGAATGCCTTGCCACCTTCCCGTGCATGGTAACCACATAGGCACAGAGTGGTGACTCGCCTCTCTTCCTATTACTCCAGGACACTAGAGCTTCTTAACCTGCTATGCCCTGGACTACTTTAGGCTGTGGGGCCACCTGCAAGTTTTTGATTCCATCAACATATACCAGCTATGTGCAGGGTCCTGCATTCTCACCAGTCTCTAGAAAACTGTTCACTAATAACATTTTTACTTCCTCTGAGGGAGGGAGAGGTGTTGCCAGCAAGATTGAATATTGTTGTTAGTTTACTGCATCTGGCACTGCTCATGCTGCTGATGAGATCCAGTTTGAATGTATGTGACTGGGATTTAGCGTATCTTCAGTACCAGTTATGTAATATGCTTGAATTGAAACAGTATTTGGAGGTCATAGTGGGCTTTAAAATAATCAACACAGATGTAGAAGAACTATTTCTGTCTCGGGTATACTGGGAAACAGCAGTATTTAACTGTTTTAATGAGAGGGTATAGTCACACTATTTGACTTGGTCTCCTCAGATTCGATATACTACAGGGTAAATACCGTACTGCTGTGGTAAACCTAAATCTCACTTTATAGGCTGTACTCCAGCTGTGCACTGGAAGGTGATATATGGTCATGTTCTTTTCCATTAACAGAACATGATGCTTGTACTTCTAGATTTTTATCAAGCAGTTCTACTACGTATATCATGCCCAACTCAGTTGGTCTAATAAAAGACATCATGTCTACCAAAGAACCTTGCCTGCATCATGCCCTTTACAAAGTAATATATGATGCAGCTTTTGTTCTGTGTCATTGGCAACGCACAGGGGTGCACACAGGTGCATATGCACCACCCCCCGAGATTGGTGGTGCATCCCCAGAGATTGGCAGATGCTGCGGGCGGCGCTTGTGGGCAGTTGCCACTCGCCGACACCACCGGTGGTGTCTGCAGGGGGTCACTGATCGCCGGTCAGCTCTCACTGCCGCTGACGCCGCTGCAGCTGCCTGCGGGAGCACCCTGCTTGCTGCTGCCATGTTCCCACCGCCGACACTGCTGCCACCGCCCGCGGGCTGTCACTGTGCCCCCCCCAGCCTTGGGATGCACACAATGTTCATGTTCCACATAGAGAGAAACTTCTGCTTTACTGCACATTTTAGCAAGGAATTAGGAATTAAGGGCATTTTTACACATGCTGCGGGATGCAGGGCTGGGTGCTTTAATTAACGAGCTGAGCTAATTAAAAGTGCCCACAAGTCACTGATGCACATGATGCAGAAGGCTGCCAGAGCTCATCAATTTCCATGCTCCTGCAGACTCGATTAATCAAGTCTCTCTGATGCACTGGATTTCCAGGGTGTTGGAGCAGGCTCCGTGCACATCTGTAGGAACCCCTAGTTTACAGTCCTGTGCTTTTCTTAGTTGGCAACATTGCACATTGTTATTCAGACATTCAAGTCTTATTCAAAGTACAGTACCGTTTCATCTCTTTGACAGCTTAGGGAGTAAGATTTTAGTCGTCCAAATACATTGAGACTTCAGAGTCTATTGCTGTTTCCTCTTCATCAGATAGGGTGTCAGTCACTCTTTTTTGTCAGTGCCATCTGAACTGTAACCTCTTGAATTTTTAGGAAACTCTCTAAATGTTTTGGTTTTCTGGCATATTAATAAAATCCTGATTTATATAGCTGCCATGAAGTTCCAGATTGAAAGCACACACTTTACCTATGGTATTTATGAAGAGATCAGTGAGGGATAAGATGCCTTGGGATAATTGAAGCACCAGAATTTAGTTTGGAATTTCATCTGGCATGCCAAATACTGTTGCTGATCTGTTGTACAGTGGTCTCTTGGGCTGAAGTATGCCATCTTAACCTACTCTAAGCATAATTATTCTTTCCTTTATTGTTTTAGTCACTCTTTATAAAATTGCTTTTCATTTTATTGATACAGCAGGACCAGTGATTGTGAAGAGTATAACAGAGGACCTTGTTTTATTTTTTAAAATGTACATTGTTTTGCAGTTACCATGGATTTCAGAGCTGAAGTCTGCATTAGAGATCCAGTAAAGCTGTACTCTTCCAACTGTGTGTGTTCAGTTTTAATTAATCTTCTTTTGGGATGGAAGGAATCTTTGAAAAGTTAAAGCCTGTGCTGAAATATGGCCTTTTTTTTGTATGAGGGGCCTGTTATGGTGCTATGAAGTCAAATCCCAGCAGCAGGGGTTGCAGTTTGGATGCTAACTCCAGTCTGTCTGAGGGTACAGTAAATATCTAATCCATTCTGTGAAGCTCAGGAGTTGAGATGATGCCCAAAAGGTTTCCATGATAAAAGATTTTTATAGAAGCCTTCTTTAAGTAGTTCCAGCTCTCCCATTATCTGCAGCAGAGCTCTGAAATTTCGCCTTGGGTTGAGAGAATTGCCTGTCTGCTATGAAATTTGGTTAACATTTTGCCAGGTTTATAAATCAAAATTTCCCCCTTTCTTTCTTTTTACTTATTGATATGTTTGCTAAGCAGCACATGCAGGACTGTACATGATTGAGAATGCCTGGGAACTGCCAGAAAAGCTCTAGCAGTGGAGTTAGGGTACCAAGTCAGGGATACAGGGGCTTTTTCGGAGGTTGTTTTTTTTGCAAGTATCTAGTTGGTTTAATAAAAGAGATCACCTGTACTAAGAGTTCTGATTCAGGTTATCAAGTCATGCACTTGAAAGTTGGGATGCCATAAATATGGTGTTCATTATTTGTTCCACCTTTTCATGATATATTGCAATTGTTTTCATTTAAATCATCAGTTTTTTTTCCACAGAATTACTGTTTTCATTTTTTGCACAAAGGGGCAGAGATAAGGTGTCACAAAAACCACATTTTTGGCCTCTTCAGGTTTCAAATCCCTGATGTCTCAGTGGAATGGTAGATGGTGCAGATAGTGAAAACAACAAAAGGCACTGGAGAAAAACAGCACTGTCTAAATCTTTTGTGATTCCTGAGGCTTCTGGATGCCATTTGGTCGTTTTCTTGCATATTTGTATGTGGAAAGGGTGCTCCTCTATATTGTAATGTTTTTGAGAGATGCTCCCCCCACCTCCCCCCCTCGCCCCAGCAGTTCTCTCCAGCGGATTAGTTTTTAACTTTGCTGTCAGGCATCACTTAATACTTTTGCAGTGTTTTGCATATGTTATGACTAAACCTACTTTCCATCCTTTGCTCGTCAACTCTAGGATTTCTCTCTGAAAATCAGCCTACAGTAAAGCAGGCTATGAATTCTAAGGAACAGTAGCTGCTCCTAATTAAACATGAATGCACCTTCGTAGTGGGCTTACGCCAAACATTCTGGAACAAGACTCCGTTGTTTCTAAGTGTCAACGCATGGAGTTAATCAGGAATGGTTTCATGTGTAAGATCACTCGTACACTCAAACTGTTATGTTTATTCATAGAAGAGATACAATACCTGCAGTAGCTTCAAAATTTTCCTCTCATTGCCCTGTTTAATATGCCACAATTCTAATCTGGAGGAAACTCCATTAGGTGTTGGGGGGAAGGCAGGTAGCTCTTTCCATGCCTGGTCAATCTTTCCTTTTTCTGGGACATGGTTGACATGGTAATGATGTGTTTCTTGCAGTTATTGGTGGATTGTATCAGTAACATAGCAGTAAAAGGAACTGTGTCACATTTTTGGCCCCTTGTTTTACTTTTTTCTCATTTGAAGCTTTCATTTTTAGGAAGATTAGAGAAATGAGCTGCCATATTTCTCTGCCATGAAGTAATTATAATTATATTTAATTTTTAAATGTACTTGCAAATTAAAGAATTACACAATTGGCTGAAACTTGCAAGAAAGGGCTGTGACTTGTCACAGAGTATTTACTAGATGACAGGACATAGTCCACAAGTGTGTGTTCTTTGTTACTAGGAAATTCATGTTTTTGCAGTGGTAAAAGAATTAGCCAGGTCCCCTTGTTTTGTTTGCTTGTAACCTTGACACACGCTACTGTTGTTCTGATTTTTAATGTCAAGGCAGTTTAAAAATTCATGATGTGCATGCACGCGTGCACAGAGTAACTTTAATTTTTTAAAATTTTAATGAGTTCCTATCTTTTTTCATCATGCCTTTGTGCACCTGTTCTGAAAGATGTGCTGACAGTGACACTGAACCCTTTTGCATTCTAGCCTAATGTGGAGTTCTGAAAACAGATACTACCCGTGAACTCTCTAACAAAAAAAGAAAGGCAAGATTAATTAGCCATTAAATAGGCTTTGCATTGGTTGCACTAGTTGAATTAGCCCAATAGGTGTGTATTAATAAGACTGAAATGATTACTGTAAAAATATAACCTATAGCCTGGGTACAATTAGCTTGAACTACTAAGTTTATAAATTTCCCTGAATTCAAAGGTGTTTCATACTAGTACTGTTTATTTGTCCCCATTTTAAAGGGGAAATAGAGTTCCTCTATGTTTCTTGTACTATATAGTGATGTAAGGAACACTTTTTCTGTAACTAGAAAAGTTTACCTTTTTTGAGGATGAAATATATTGTAGATAACGCTCAAGCCTTATTTTATATAATAAATATAGAAGTACTTATCCATACATGCTATTGTGCTATTTTTATCTTTTTAATAATTCCTTACTGAATGTCATGCTGGTATAGCTTATGTGGCTACATTTGGGGGGGAATAAAAAGATTTATTTTCATGAGGAGCAGATAACTTCCATTGGATATAATATACTATGTAATTACTTGATTTTGCCTGTGCAAATTTCCAGAAGACGAAGTCCAATTAATTGCTCCTGTGTTAGTGTAATTTTCTTTTTTAACTTGTAGCACTAAAAGATAACTAAATATTTTCCCCTCCCCTTCTTAACAGAGGAGGAGCTCAGAAAGTTGAGAGAAGAAACAAATGTTGAAACATTAAAACAAGAACTAGAGAAAGAGCGGCAGAGGAGATTGGAACTAGAACAAAAAATCAGTGATGTACTTAAGGCAAGGTAAGAGAAATCCTTTACAACAGCTAAGGCCTGTAAGGTATGCATGCACAGGGCAAGGCAGCCCAGTGGACAGAAACTGAAGATAGCCCTCATGCAGAAACAGCAAAATTTAGCTTGGTGTCATACTTGAACAAATTTAACATTGCTGAGAAGCAGAGCTTATTAGCCTGGGCTTAACATTTTTACTAAATGAGCTTTGTAGATGCTGGTTTTGGAGCACAAAGAGCTATTTATTTTGCGTATCCCTGCATAGTGCCTACCTTGTGCCATGTAGACTCTGGTATGTATGCTAATGTATTCAAAGCTAAGTTGGGGTGGATCCATAGGCAAAGTGTAGGAGGGGCAGGGGGGGCACATGCCCCCCCCCCGAGATTGGCCACTGCCACTGGTTTCTGTGGGGGGCCGCCAC